GAAGATATTCTATAAACTCAATGCCGTTTACATTTAAAAAAAAAATAAACTGAGGCCATCACCTTCCCTGCAGATGAAACGACATTGTCTATCTTTGAGGTGTTTCCACTCAATGAATTACGTCTCTGGTTCAAACTGATGAACCTAATACTCATCCTGGGTTAGGAAACTACAAGGAAACCATCTGGATTTACCTTGAAACAATGTCAGATTATCCCGTGATGTGATCAGCCTGGTGTGATTTTGATCTGGTGTGAGAAGACGTGGCACCCACCTTGCATAGATCCCCGTCACGCCATATTCATTTATTCTCAACTCTTTCAGAGGTATTTTAATAGCGTTGGCTATTTTATTTATAGGCAATCACCTGTCATCCATCAACGTGAAGTGAACACGATCAATGTATTCTTCGTTGGTGGCATTTCCAGGAATTCCAGAACATTGGTCATCTTCAAGACTCCCCATTCCTCTCCTAAATTCAGCTGCACTGTTGATAAAGCTGGAGCGTTCGCTATTAATGTGGCAGCCATGTTAGGATGAAGATTCTTGGGGGTTAAATCTTTTTTCTGCAGGTGTTTCATAACATCGCAATGCCAAATTTTGTCCACCTTCAAAAGAAATTGCTACTAATTACATTTGAACACTTCGTTGAACAGTTAGATATCAGTTTACCTGGAGAGAAACAATGCAGTTATCATTAAGAAGTGCTGGAATTAATGCATGCAACATTTCACAGGTCGAGCACCCCACCTTCTTTGTCAGCCTATGAAGTTTTCAGTCCACCCTCGTACCTAGAAAGAATCAATGCAGTTATTAAGAAGAAGAATAGAAATAAATGCATGCAAGATTTCACAGATACAGCATCACTCTTTTATAGTCAGCCTATAAACTTTTCAGCCCATCCTCGAAACTGGAAAGTAAAAATGCAGTTATTAATAAGAAGAATTGAAATGAATGCATGCAAGATTTCACAGCTCAAGCCTTGTTCCTTCATAGTCAGCCTATGAATGTTTCAGCCCACCCTCATATTTGGAAAAGAGTAATGCAGTAATTAGGAAGAAGAATTGAAATAAATGCATGCAAGATTTCATAGTCTGAGCATCATACCTTCATAGTCAGCCTGTGAATGTTTTCAGCCCATCCTCGAAGCTGGAAAGTAAAAATGCAGTTATTAATAAGAAGAATTGGAATGAATGCCTGAAAGGTTTCACTGTTCAAGCCTTGTTCCTTCATAGTCAGCCTATGAAGTTTTCAGCCCAACCTTTTACCTGGAAAGAAACAATTCAGTTATTAATAAGAAGAGTCTAAATTAATGCATGCAAGATTTCAATCCTTCATGCTATCCTCTAACTATAAGAGCCAGCTCAGGCCGAAAATGGAAGACTTTCCATATTTTGGCGGGAACTGCCTCGTCCTCACTTTTCAGTATTGATAGATCTCAAAAGCGTCTCCGAATCCTTGTTAGAAAAGAATTATTTTCCACCCACCAACCTGAGACCGATTCGATCTTGGCCTCCTTATGATCAAACTTAAATCATAACGTGGGATAGGACAGGTTTGAGATCGAAGTGATCTTTATCGATCAGTGGCGGTGTTGGAAGTCTTGAACATCCAGGGAGGGTGTTGGGCCACACCCAGCAGAGAAAGTAATGTTCATATGTTCGGACCCAGAACTACCACCAGTCACGGATGTCCTCTCGAGAAGGGCACCATGCCTTAAGAGAATCTTGGGCCTCAAACTTACAACTAACTTCAAGTGTAACTCGTACATGTCATCCATCGCTAAAGATGGAGGTAAAAAAATAGGCTCTCTGAACCGCTCCAGTAAGTACCTGACTCCTCATGGTATACTCTACCTTTATAAGAGCTAGATTAGTCCGAAAATGGAAGACTGTTGACGCATTTGGGTGGGAGCTGCCGGGTCCTCATGTTCCGGTCTCGATAGAGTTCAAAAGCGTCTCTGAATCCTTGCTGGAAAAGAATTACTTTCCACCCACGAACCACTCTCTCACGCGTAGGGATATGGTAAACCTCTCACTGCTTTATCGCTATTTAGATGGAAAGGGCTCAGACAAAGTACATTCCTCGGTACCCGCCAGGTCTAATCGTCCCTACGTTTTCATCATTGAGAAGTCAGTTCCACTCGAACAGCCATTTTCCCGGGAACCGCTGCTCTGTGGAACAGTCTCCCGAGAGGATGTTTCTGTTGACCATGTTTGCCGTAGTCTTTGAATATAGAATCCAGTGCAGTACGTAATGTGTTCAACGGAACAACGCCAATATCACTAGTAGCAGCTGTTCTGTAATTCTTCAGGTCTTCGATATCAGAGGTTGGCAGTGAAGATAGTTTTGAAGAAAAAACAAAATGGCTGCCTTTATACACGTCGGATTGAATATTTGGAGCTTTCTGATTGGTTAACCCTTATCTTGGTGGACTATAAAATGAGTCAGCTGATTTTGGTTGGCTGACTAACACACAGATGTATCCAAAAAACTGTAACAGTTTTCCCGATTACGACAGTCTTAATTTGTTCAAGGCTAGGGTTAACAGTTATTTTCCTCTCCTATTCATATAAACTACCCCTTAAAGGAACTCTCTACCTCGAGTGGCCACCGGGTCTTGTATAGGGTGAATCTGTAAAAAATAAAAGTCTGATCTTCTTGCTCTCTACCTTTCGAATGAACGACAGAAAGCAGCGAACGGCTAACTACCCGTCATCACATGCGCGCGCGTGCTGTCGGGCATCAGATCCTGCCTCACTGTTATCCTCTCCTTATAAAATAATTTCAAAATTGTTTTTACTTTATGGTCACCCACTTATATATATATATATATATATATATATATATATATATAATTAATTTAATTTAATTAGAAAACAGACAACCTTAAGGGTCTATTTTATTTCCCCAGGTAGGTGGCCTTTACCCGTTTCATCTGATCACATTTCCAAGGGTGAAAAAATGTTTTTAAATTTACGTATTATTTTTATACATTTTTAAGGGATAGTTCATATATATATATATATATATATATATATATGCACAAACACACACAAACAGAAACACAAACACACACACACACACAAACACACATAGAGGATGCGATGGATATATTGTCGTCTAAATTACGCAGAAATGAAAATAACACTGGCATCTCATTTTAACAGATATATTTTAAAAATTACTCAAAATTATCTTGAAATACCAAAGAATAAATTTATTACGAAATGGGACAATTATTTTAAGATATTTATATGTTATACGTCATTTATATAGGCAAAAATATTTAAGTAAATACTATGTTTTATAATAAACAGTATTAACCACATTTATCGGCCTGAACGCCCGAGAAAATTCATGGAAAATAAGCGTCTTCCGACAGAAACCGAACCTGCGTCCTACACTGAATTGTCATATTGCTTGACGTGCAATACGGGTTTAACTAAGAAGGAGCGTCTGATTAACATGGCCGATTTTACTGCTTTTAAACTACAAACTTCGCATGATTTCTCTCGAACGTCTGTATCTGCTAGAAGCAGAATGTAAACAAATCACGTCACACACTACGAAATGGACTTAGTTTGACAATTATTTTAAGATATTCTATTGTTATACGTTATTTATATAGACACAAGTAAATGCTTATAAATAAACAGTATTAACATTAAAAATTTGTGTCGATATGAATAACGTATAACAATAAAATCTATTAAAATGAATTTATTCAATAAAATCGCCATTGGCTTCAACGCCGGCTTTCAGACGATTTCGGACGGTCTTCTTGGTGAATGCTGCCATAATCCTTGCCTTCAGTTCATTTTTGATATTACAAGGAGTTTTGTTGATCTCTCGCTCAACTGCACCCTACACATAATAATCAAGGGGGTTGCAGTCTGGGGAGTTAGGTAGCCAGATGTAAGGGGTGATGTGGTTTCAGAATTTGTCTGATAGCAATGACTGGGTTCTCTTGCTCGTGGGGCATGGTGCAGAGTCATGTTGTCAGGCATAGGATCATGACCCAGGCCACCACTACCTCCTCAAGGCACTTGATGTAGGAAACCTTGTTGAGTCTGTGACCCTCACCAATTCGGGAGATTTTTACTTATCAGAACGGTCAGAGTGATTTTTCCGGGCTGCCGGACGTTTGTAAACACAATTAGACTCATTCGACTCTTTTCGAATCCTCTGCACTGTGCTGAGACTTACACCCAAACACAATGAAATATTCGTATTAGAACTTATGGCGCGAATGCCAAGCAGTAGAGCACGCCGTTTCCAAATTGTGTCATTTTGTTATTTTATTTCTCACAGACAGTGCCCAAGTGACCGTACGATAGTCTGTACAGTCAACAAAATCAAAAACCAACAACTCGTATGCACGAAATTAAACTGTCTAATGTGGTCAGTATTTTCCTGTCGACATCGTCTCAGGTTTTAAAGAATTTTAATGATATAGATTTAAAGAATGATGGGTTCCATAAAGAACCTTATGAGTAGAAAGAACATATATATATATATATATATATATATATATATATATATATAAGGAGAGAGACAGACAGAAGTAGAGACAGAGGGGGAAGAGAGATAAATAGATAGATAGATATAAACAGGCTGATATAGAGAGATATGTTCTCTCTCTCTATCTCTCTTTCTCTGACACACAGACACGCACACACATGCACATATATATGATTAGAACTGTGTAGCGAAAAAAACATTTTAAATCAGTTAATTTATAATATATGATAATATATATATATATATTTATATAGGATAATATATATATGTGTGTATGCATATATATATATATATATATATATATATATATATATATATATATATATATATGACAATATATATATATATATATATATATATATATATATATATATATATATGATAAAATATAGACTTAAGGTATGATATGTTTATGGCTTAAAAGTGCTCTATATCAGGAAATAGAGCGTACGCAAATATAAAAGTGCACATTGAACTCAACAGTCCATACACACACGCACACACGCGTACATATATAGATAGATAGATAGATAGATAGATAGATAGATAGATAGATAATGAAGAGACCGAAGATAGATAGATAGATAGATAGATAGATAGATGAATGAATGATAGATAATGAATAATGAGAGACCGAGATAGATAGATAGATAGATAGATAGATAGATAGATAGATAGATAGATAGATAATGAAGAGACCGAGATAGATAGATGATAGATAGATGAATAGATAGATGCATAGATAGATGAATGAATATGCACCGACTGAGATAGATATCGAAAGTAGATAGATAGATAGATAGATAGATAGATATGATATGAACTGACTCAGACTTAGATAGATAGATAGATAGATAGATGAATGAATATGAACTGACTCAGACTTAGATAGATACATAGATGAAGTGAACACAGGTGTGATGAATAGATAGATAGATAGATAGATAGATATGAACAGAGTGTGATAGATAGATGAATGAATAGATAGATATGAACAAGTGTGATGATGAATAGATAGATAGATAGATGAATGAACAGAGTGTGATAGATAGATAGATAGATAGATAGATGAATAGAAATGAACAGAGTGTGATAGATGGATGATGGATATGATAGATAGATAGATGAATGAACTGACTCAGCATTGAGATAGATAGATACATAGATAGAAATGAACATAGTGAGATAGAAGTGAACAGAGTGTGATAGATAGATAGATAGATAGATAGATAGATAGATAGATAGATAGATATGAACAGAGTGTGATAGATAGATAGATAGATAGATAGATAGATAGATAGATAGATAGATATGAACAGAGTGTGATAGATAGATAGATAGATAGATAGATGGATAGATGAATATGAACAGAGTGTAATAGATGGATAGATAGATAGATAGATAGATAGATATGAACTGACTCAGCATTGAGATAGATAGATACATAGATAGAAATGAACATGGTGAGATAGAAGTGAACAGAGTGTGATAGATAGATGGATGGATGGATAGATAGATAAAATAGATAGATAGATATGAACAGAGTGTGATAGATAGATAGATAGATGAATAGATGAATGGATAGATAGATAGATAGATAGATATGAACAGAGTGTGATAGATAGATGGATAGATGGATAGATGGATGATAGATAGATAGATATGAACTGACTCAGACTTAGATAGATAGATAGATAGATATTAACTGACTCAGACTTAGATATAGATACATAGATAGAAATGAACAGAGTGAGATAGAAGTGAACAGAGTGTGATAGATAGATAGATAGATAGATATGAACAGAGTGTGATAGATAGATAGATAGATAGATAGATAGATAGATAGATATGCACCGACTGAGATAGATATCGAAAAGTGATAGATAGATAGATAGATAGATAGATAGATATGAACTGACTCAGACTTAGATAGATAGATAGATATGAACTGACTCAGACTTAGATAGATAGCTAGATAGATAGATAGATAGATAGATAGATATGAACTGACTCAGACTTAGATAGATACATAGATAGAAGTGAACAGAGTGTGATAGATAGATAGATAGATAGATAGATAGATAGATGAATAGATAGATCATCATCTTAATGGGCTGACTTTACTCATTTCTATTGATATTGCTATGTAGATGTGTAATTCCGGATTGATGGCGATATCTGACGGCGCATCTATCTACCTCGTTTGCTAGGTAGATCATGCGACATCAAATGAATTGAAACAAGCGACCCGACACGGTAAGTTAAACGGGGCAGAACCATCAAGTCGTCCCCAATAAGTTTTCTGGAAGCACTGCTCCGAACGACGTCGACCCCAGGAGCAGGAACTGTCTTTGTAGTCGCGGGAAAGTAACGTACACGGTAATAATTCATCATGTCAGATTGCGAAAGCCGTCACAGCATATTGAATTCTTTCGATGTCCCACGAAAGAGAACTTTTTCCTTTCACTTGTCTTACGACGACTCCGATACCCCCACCCATTAACCTCCCTACAAGCCTCTTTCCTCACCCATCGTCATGATGTTGAAATCGAAGTTATTCTTCGTAGTCCCCTCTTCTGATCTACTGTTTACTCAGCCTCCTTGCGACTCCCCCCACCACCCCAGGACCCCACGCAACTGTAAACTTATTTTACTACTTATTTCAGCAATTGATGTTTTTTTGATGTTGATCAAGTGATGACGGTGTTCTTCGTCGCGGTTGTTGTCGTTGAGTGGGAAGAGGAGAAAAGTTATAGAAGTGAAAGAAGGGAAGTGAGGAGGAAGAGAGAAAAGAAGGAAGAGGAGAAGATGGGTAAAATGAGGAGGGAAGGAAAAAGAAGGAGAGTGAGGAAGAAAATGATGACAAAATTGAGATCAAGGATATATGAGAAAGATACTTAGAAATGACAACAGAAAATAAGAAAGAAAGAAACCTTGTTAAGAGAAAAAGAATAAGAGAGATTAATAGAAGAGGAAAGAAAGATTAAGGGGAAAAGAAAGAAGAGAAAAATGTTAAAAGGCAAAGAAAGAAAGAAAGAAAGAAAGAAAGAAAGAAAGAAAAGAGATCAGTAAAACTGTGGACGAAGAAGAAGTGAAAAGTGGTTACGGTTAGACGAAGAAGAAGAAGGAGGAGGAGGAGGAAGAGGAATAAGAGGAGGAGGAGGAGGAGGAAAACGAACAGAGATGGAAAATAACGAAGAAAATGATGTGAAAAAATGAAAGAGAAAAAATGTTAAAATTAAAGAGGAAGATAAAAGAAAATACTCAGCAAGAAAGAAAGAAAGAAAGAAAGAAAGAAAGAAAGAAAGAAAGAAATCTTGTTAAGAGAAAAAGAAAAAGAGAGATTAATAGAAGAGGAAAGAAAGATTATAGGGAAAAGAAAGAAGAGAAAAATGTTAAAAAGCAAAGAAAGAAAGAAAGAAAAGAGACCAGTAAAACTGTGGACGAAGAAGAAGTGAAAAGTGGTTAAGGTTAGATCAAGAAGAAGAAGAAGAAGAAGAAGAAGAAGAACAACAACAACAACAAGGAGGACGAGGAGGAGGAATAAGAGGAGGAGGAGGAGGAAACCGAAAAAGAACAGAGATGAAAATTTACGAAGATGATGTGAAAAAAATGAAAGAGAAAGATTAAAATTTTAAAAAATAAATAAGGAAGATAAAAGAAAATACTTAGAAAGAAAGAAAGAAAGAAAGAAAGAAAGAAAGTCTGGACGAAGAAAAAGAAGAGAAAAACGATTACGGTTAAGAGAAGAAGAAGAAGAAGAAAACTTAATAAGAAGGAGAAAAGCGAAGAAGGAGAAAGGGAAGAATGAAGGTGAAAAGTTAAAGACGAAGAAAAATAAGTCTTAGAGAAAAACAAAAGAAAAAAGGTGGAAATAAAATGAAAAAAAAGAATGAAAAGTTGAAATTAAGAAGAAAAAATCGAAGAAAAAAGATTTTGAAGGTAAAAAAAGGAGAATGAAGAATGCGGTATGGTGAGAAGGAAAAAGAAAGAGAAGAAAAAAAAGAGAACTTGTACTAAGGCGAGATGGCGGAGAAGAAAAATAGAAAAAGAGTGAAGAATAATGTGAATAAATGAATAAAAGTAAATAAAGAGAAAGAAAGCAGGAATTTTTTTCTTTATATATTCTTTTTTTTTATTCTTTACTTTTTTATTCAT